CAACAGCAGGAGATCCCATCTCAACAATTGTCCAGAGATGGACCATCTCAGAGAGATATCACCAGCACACAACAGCGGGACATCCCACCTCAACAAGTGTCCAGAGATGAACCATCCCAGAGACATAGCTCCACCACACAGCAGGGGGAAACACAAACTTCACAAGTGTCTCCTCGTCCTTGCCAGAAACTTGTGCCCCCTAAGAATATTTTAGATGCAGAGGAACTGCCTCAGGAACAGGAGATGAAGAGGACCAGATTGGAGACCAGTTATGATGAAAAGGAGCAGTCCCAACAGGAAGAGGCTTCTACTCGCCCAAGAACACAAACTTCAAGGGTGCAATCAGTTCAGAGAACAATTGAGGATATGATAAGGGGAAATCTCACCTGTCAAACATCTTCGGCAGAAATGAGAACTGAGCAGGCTCCTTCCCAGGGGCATCCAAGCGCTCTTCCCCCCAGACGCCGCTGTCTTCAGGAACCTCTCAGCCCAGATCAAGAAGCAAGTCAAGATGTTCTTCAGAGTGCTCCCCAACAATCATCCCAACAACGTCAGGTGGAAGAGCAGAGTAGCACACTTCATGAGGAAGTGACCTCCCAAACATCGGGGCAGGACAGAAGAAGTCAACAGTCTGCTGTAGAGATGGAACAAATCTCAGCTGGGGAACCATTGCAAGAAACTTGTCAAAGGTCTTCTGGAGGAAGAAACCAGCAAGTGCAGGTTGAAGAAAGAAGATCAGCATCTGGCCACCTCCGAAATCCCCAGGTGGTCCAGATTTGTGACCAAGAATCTTGTTCTGTCACGTTCAGACAGCATCAGAATGACCAACAGAGATGTCAATCTCAAGGACTTGAGCAGCGTTCGGTTGTCCAAGAGGACCAAGAAGTTCAAGCTCCAGGGCAGGTCATAAGTAGACGTCAAGAACCTCAAATGCCAGTCTACCGACCTCATCAAGAAAAGGAAAGGTATCCCACAACATTAGAATGCCAACGTGGTCCATCAGAGCAGAGAGCTGTGTCTCAAGAAGTGTCTAGGCCTCAAGTAGCTGAGAGATACCCACGTGGTGAGCCTGGAGAGCTCACAGTTGTCCAATTCTCCCAAGATTCTTCTCCCAGACGTCCATTCCAACCTTCCCAGTTCCAGCTAAAACAGAGGGCATTACAGTTCCCTCCTCCCTGGTCTACAAAGCAATAAACACTTCCTAGAAAGCCAAGAAATTCTCCACAAAACCATGGAAACAGAGATGATCCACCAAGGTCAATCCATCTCGTCCCAGGACATGTGGCAGCTTTGGAGAAGACCTTCCTGGGTTTGCTCACCAACCACATCTACAAAATGTGGGTGGAGAAGCACAGCCCTCAGCCAGTTGCAGTCAATGTCAGGGGTGAGCTGCATTAAGATTGGTGGATCTCAAGTAGTTTAGATTTTGCTTTGCTTCTTTATGAAGAACCTGGATTCTTGCTTCAAACTTGCTTCATTTCTACATGCAAGGAATCTTTGAGAAGAATCCTGAGATTTTCATAGCCGTGTTCTCTCTCTCGTACTCTTGACTCCCTGTAGGCACACTTAGCCATAGTATCACAAATAGGACTTTGTGAAGCTCAGGATGGGTGGTTTATTGAATACAGCCTCCTTCTCTAGCTATCTTTTATATCGTCAATAATATTTATCAGCAATTGTTCCATAATGCAATAAAGGATCCAGTTTTGCATTGAGTTAATGTCCCCAATGATCCAATGAATGTCAGATTTGTATAACAAAATTGTTCATGAGATGATTGTGCTTCAGTTCATACTATACATGCTCCAGATCTTCTTAGGACAATTTTTCTCCATCTTGGCTACTTTAAAGATGGGTGGACGTCAACTTCCACAAATCCCCAGCCATACTGGGTGACTGAGAAATTCTGGGAGTTGAAATCCCACTCATCTTCAAGTTGTCCAGTTGAACCCTACGGCCTTAGATGTCCACCATATTGTAGAATGAAAAGTCTGGCTCAACCGTGTCACAACCTAGTGATGTAGACAAACAACTGTAAAGGGACAAAAATGCATAGCTAACCTTCAATTCCTTGTGTATCTCAAGCAATCTAAATCATTCTTTCTAAAAAAAAAATCTGCTTCTTTCTGTGATAAAATAAAAGAATATTTGCTAGCACATGTGGCATGCTTCCTTTTTGCGACACAATGAATGCTTAAAAAGTAACAATCATCCAAACGGACCCTTGTCGAGTTTGTGTTGGTCTTTCAATCGTAGACTACAAGGTCAAGAGTGAGAAAGACTATCCACTTCTGTTGTCCAGTAGTCTCCACCTATGAAGTAGGACTCTTCCTGGGTTGGTTGACTCAAGAGACATGTCCTACTTGTGAGAATAAATTGTTAAGGTCTACACCTGGGCTTAGAAGAATTCAAGCTGAAAATACTTCAATTGGGAGTTCAGGATTTGGAGGAACAGTGTATCTACTCATGGACTTCTTCGGTTGTCTAAACTGTATGGGACTTCTAGCCAGCGATACTTGGATCTTCTCTAGATTTTGTTCATAGATTAGTTGTGAGTTTGTTCTACCTAATTGAAGTCGGTAATTTTGGATATTAAGCTAGTTTTGGGGTTATTCTGCAGATCAGGGAGGAATAGATCCAAAATACATCTTTTTGAAAGAGGAGATATGATTTTAAGGGCCTAACCCAGCTCCATTACAAAACAGGGAGATGTTAGCAGAAGCCAACCAGGAAATCTTATGGAGACCTTTGGGATGGTGGAGAATTGCTCCGCTCAGCAACGTCCAGGAGATGTTAAAATCACTCCATCCACTGTACTTAATTTGGATTCAGTTTAATCCAGTTTACATTTTGGCTTAACAATGTTGGTCTTCTATAATTAAAATTGAATCAAATAGGTCAAAGTTCTTTACTCTCGGCAACGCCGAACAAGAATCTGCTTTGCTTTGAATCAAAACCAACATTGAGTTGGAAGGGACCTTGGAGGTCTTCTAGTCCAGCCCCCTGCTCAAGCAGGAAACCCTAGACCACTTCAGACAAGTGACTATCCAGTCTCTTCAGTGTTGGGAGCTCCCACAACTTCTGGAGACAAGTAGTTCCACTGGTTAATTGTCCTCACAGTTAGGAAGTTCTTTCTTGTCCTGCCTTCAGATGCTTTGGAGAATAAGTTGACCCCCTCTTCCTTGTGGCAGCCCCCCACCCAAATACTGGAACACTGCTATCATCCAGTCCTTCTTTTCACTAGACTAACCAAACCCAAATCCTGCAACTGTTCTTCATATGTTCTAATCTCCAGGCCTTTCATCATCTTAGTTGCTCTTCTCTGCGCTTTTGGTATGTTTGTGTGTTTGGAAGAAGGAATAATTCACCCAAAAAAGGGACTAGTTTTAATTCCCTAAAAGAAATCCTACGATCTCACTTAGAAGTTATGTTCTCAGTCAAAAACTATTTTAATCTTAGCCTGCTGTGATGGAAACCCAGCTTCCGAATTATGATTAGGAGGTCCTATAAACCAGCATATGGCTTTAGTTAGAGAAACAACATCTGATGATCTTCGAGCTCCATCTTGTGGTTAATGAATAGGTAGCAGATTGTTTTATGAAAATTGTATTAGGTATGGGACGATTTTAGAGCTGTGTTTCTCAGCCATGGCAAACTTGAACAGATATCAACTCCCAGAATTCCCCAGTCGGTGCTAGCTGGGGGATTCTGGGAGTTGACATCCACACGTCTTCAAGTTGTCAATCCTTGCTTTAGAGAATGTTGTTCTCCATGCTCAGAGGATACAGAGTAACAGAGTTGGAAGGGACCTTGAAGGTCTTCTAATCCAACCCCCTCTCAAGGAGGAAGACCTTATACCAGGGGTCTCCAACCTTGGCAACTTTAAGACTTGTGGACTTCAACTCCCAGAATTCCTCAGCCAGCTTTGCTTTTAAAGTTGCCAAGGTTGGCGACCCCTGCCTTATACTATTTCAGACAAGTAGCTGTCCAGTCTCTTCTCAAAAACTTCCAGTGTTGGAGCACCCACAACTTCTAGAGGGAAGCTGTTCTACTAATTAATTGTCCTCACTATTGGGAAATTTTTCCTTGGTTCTTGGTTGCTTCTCTCCTTGATGAGTTTTCATCTATTACTTTCTTCTGCCTCTAGTGCAAAATTTCCATCATTTTCTGCAAGGTGGATTGTGTCTTCACCTGTTTCTAACCCCAAAGAGCCCACCCAAGAACTAAAAGTCAACTCAAAACCCAAACAACATGGACTTTGTTTAGAAGAAACTGCTCTTTATTTATCTTGTTTCATTTCCATCACCAGTAGTCCACCAAAAACCCACTAATCCACCAAGTTTACCCTAAATCCAAAGTTAGAAAAATTAAAGAAAGGGGAAGGGAAAAATAGAGGGCTGTTGGTGTTCAACAATCCAATGGAGTTGACGGTCATTTGATCAACGGTGAACACATTCATGCAGGACACTTTCGTACGTTGAATATCAAGGAAGAACCAGGCTGGTTTCCATTAGTCCACCTTGAGAAATGCTCTTGATGGGTGACTTCAGTTTGCTCATCATGGTTCCTTCAACGTTACTCGAATGGCTGGGATAGGTGGGAAAATATAGTGTTATTGAATATAATAAGGCTACAACTACAAACAAACCGGTTGGCTTCCTGGTCAAAGATTCCAAAAGAAGGCCAAGGAATCCAGAGCCTCTCCAGATATTGATCAAATTACTGTTCCCAGCAACTTTTGTCTTAGATAAGATGGACCAGAATTACTGGGAGTTTCTCAAGGTCTGGAGAACTTATAGTTACCTCACTGCTGCTTACTCTGGCTTCAACCTTCGTTTTCTAGTCCTTCGTGGCTGGCATAAGGCTACGGGGCTCAGATCTTCTGAGTTCAGGGGCTCTGCGTCTGGAAATCTGCTGTGGGCTGCTGGGATCAAACTCTCTCTGGCCAACATCAGAAGGACTCGCCATGTCTCGTCCTGTACGTCTCCTTCGGGCATCTCCTTCTGGAAGTCTCTCCCTTTCACCATATCTGGAGGCACTTTCTTGAGGCCTTCTCCGGACTTCATCTCTGGTTTCAGCTTCAAGTGACGTGGCACGTCTCCCATCTCTCTCCCTATCCCGGGATTCACGTTCATAATGTTGTCCCTCCTGGTTGTCTTCTCTCTCAACTAATTCACGAGGCTGGAGCCGCCGCCTCCTTTCAGCATCTCTTTCTTGGGACCTAACTTCGTAGTTACGGGGTCTCCTCTGGTCATCTCTCCTTGGCTCTTCATAACTTTGAGATCTATCATACTTGGGGTCCCTGGGTTCAGGTTCTTGGGATTGGGGTCTCCTTCTTCCGCTTTCCGTTGCACGGGTTTCCTCCTGGCTGAACTCCCGGCTTCTCCGCTCTATGTCCTCAGGATGTTGGGATCTTCTGACCTCTTCTCTGCCTTCAGACTCATGAGACCGGGAAGGTCTGTCCATGTTCTCAAGCTCAGAAGAATGGGGCCTCCTTGTCTCTCGTTCTCTGCGTTCCAGATCTTCCACTTCTGGTCTTCTTGAAGCTTCACGTGGTCGTGGTCTGCTCCACTCCTTTTCAACACGTCTCCTTTCAGATGTTCTGACTTCTTCCTCTTCTGCCCGGATTGCTCTACGAACATCTTCTCTTGATTGAAAGACAGAGCGTCCTTGTCTCCTCCTCTCACTCTCTCTGTGGTCATCTTCATGGAACTGTGATCTTCTCTCACCTTCTCTGAACAGTGGGCGATGCTCCTCATGTTCCTCTACTGGGCTACGGTGACGAATCCGATCTCGGCGATCATCAGCCACACGGGGTTCAAAGGCACGAGATCTCGACTCATTGTGCATTTCCAGCTCCCCCCTTCCATCTTCCACTTCTCGCCGTTCACGAGACGGCTGATCCCTTTCAACATCGTACTCTGGACGATGGTTTCCTCTATCTACTCGGGCTTGAGAACCATGTCTGAAGAGTCTTCCCTCAGCTTCCTGATGTTCAGTCTCTCGTCCCCGACGTTGTCTCCCATCTTCCCTCCTGGATATGACTATTGGAGAATACAGGTCTTCTTCATCCCTGTCCAGGAGACCCCGAACTTCACGTCTGTCATTGTCATTTCTTCTCACAAGTTCTCGGGACTGACGTGGAGAGTCTTCTTCCAGTGTTGATTCCCGTAGTCTCCGTTGACGGGGTTCTGGTATGTCAACATCTTCCCACTCTTTGGGCTCAAGGCGTCGTTGTTCAGGCTCTCTCTCCTGAAGCTCCCGAGATGGATGGTCTCTCCTATCACCATCTCTCAACTCACGATCGTGTCCTTCAAAGTGGCGGTCTACTTCCTCTCGACGTTCACTGGAACGTTCCCCTCGTCTGCCTTCTTCCATGGATGGAAGGGGGGTCCTATCTGCACCTCGTCTCTCACGAACATCGTCTCTTCTTCTGTCCTCCCCCGGAAACTCCTGGCGGTTGCTTTCATCCCCACGTGGTTCCTCATCACGCACGGCTCTCCTCCTTTCCTCATTGTATGAAAAACACTCCCGAGGATGCCAGACACTATAGCAAGCGGTGGCCATTTCAAAGATTAAGAAGAGGAACTCATTGAAGTCAACACGATTATCTCCATTCACGTCCAACAGTTGGAAGGTCAGCTTGACAATCTGAGGATCACGAGGGTTCTGGGAAAAACCAGAAATCACAAAGATTTTATTTCAAGACTCTTCCCAACTTCGCCCGACTTCTAACGATCCCAAACTAGCCTTCAACATTTCGGTGGAACCTCCTTACCTCTAGAACGCCACCAAACTCTTTTTGGATGAGTCTTTTCATCTGCCTTCGCTTCATGGAGGAACTCTCACTCTTCCTGTCGGCATACTTGTGAAAGACGTCAATGATGGTGCAGATACTGTCCACGAGACCAGCCATGTTGGAGATTTTGCCTGCAGAAACAAGAGAAGAAAATTTGCACCTATATTTAAGTCCCGAGATAGGCTGACCTCCTCCTGCCCAACCCAGTCTGCGTTCCCCACCCCCCTGCCTTTTTCCCCTCTCACTCTTTTCTAAGCTACATTGCCCCAAAATATGACTCCTCGATCCTTGTAATCAACCCAGCTTCTCCTCTTTCCAGCTTGGTCCTGTTCTTTCTAAATTTCTCAGCGATCTCCCAAGTTTAATTTTTCTTTTTCCCCCAGCGTAGCAACGTAGTTTTCAACTCACCCAGCTCAGTACGTTCAACGGTTGGAAGCCTTCAGGGAACTGTTGGAGAAGAGCAAGTATCCGATTCCTTTTTATATATTTCTTAAGATGCTGACACCCTACTCGGATGATAGATAAGTTTACGTCCAGCCCAGCCCGGTTTGCAACACCTCACCTCTTTCAAGCAGGTTGTTAATCCTTGTATTTCAACTTACCCCCTTATAGCTGTCTTTTTTTAAATAAACACACCAAAATAACATCAGTTTGCAGGGAACAACCGGAATTTTATATTTCCTGGGTTAGATATCCTATTTAATATTACGTGGGTGGGAAGGAACCTTTACAGGTGAATAAGGTTTTTAAGAAGAGACTGGACATGGAAGGGGATAAGGTCTCCTGCTTGAGCAGGGGGCTGGACTAGACGACCTCCAAGGTCCCTCCCAATTCTATTCTGTAACAGCTGACTCGTTTAGTGACCTTTCAAAGTTATAACAGCGCTGGAAAAAAGCAACCGGTCTTCACACTTACGAATTTTGTAGCATTCCCAAGAGACAAAAAAAATTTGGATGCTTGGCAGCCAGAATGTATGTATAAGATTGAAGTGTCCACAGGTTGTGTGATCTCAGGGTTGTAAGTTGCAAAGCAAAGTCAGCGTGGAAGCCAGATTCATTTTCACCACTGCCATGGTTTGCTGAGCTATGATAAAAGTCGTACAATCAGATGCAAGTCACTTCACCGTTCTGCTCAGCGACAGAAATTCTGGCTCCAATCGGGGTCCCAAGTCAAGGACGATCTCTGACTTTCCAAAACTTTGGGGAAGGTAACATTAAGCGCACTTTTGTTAAAATAATGACCAAGAGAAGAATGGAAGAGCAACCAAGTTGGAAGCATGAAATGACTTTTTCATAGATCTGGAACAAGGGTCACATTTTGTATCCTGGTCTACTCTAACCAAAATCTGTGAAGTCTACAAGCAGCAACTCTTGGCTGTCACAACCTATTTCCATGTTCAGAAGCAGTGCAGGTCGTCCTCTACTTACGACCACAATTGAGCACAACGCTTCTGTTGCTAAGTGAGACGTCGGTGAGTTTTGCCCCATTTTACGATTTTTCTTGGTCTGGTTCTTAAGGGAATCCCTGCAGTTGTTAAATGCGTCACATGGTTGTTCAGCGAATCCAGCTTTCCCCGTTGACTTGGCTTGGCAGAAGGTTGCCAAAGGGGAAGCACGCGACCCTGGGATGCGGCAACTGTCATAAGTGTGAGTCACTTGTCAAGCATCCAACTATACATCAGGGGACCATAGGGGTGCTGCAACAGTCATAGGTGTGAAAAATGGCCGTAACTCAATGTTTTCAGTGCCTTGTAACTTCAAATTGTCACTAAGCAAACTGTTATAAGTTGAGGACTACTTGTATGTTTCCAAATCCACCGCTGCTGGAGAGAACCAGGCTGATATCTCATCTGCTTCATGTCTACCTTGTGGACAGGAAGTCTACAGGTTGAGCTGAAGGACTCATTCTGAAACGCATCTTCTTAAGACCTTATGATCTTAGAGACTGTCTATTTTTGATGCAAACCAGGGTTCAATTCCCCATCCTCTCCTTCTTTAGGATCCTGGCTACAACATATTTTCCTTCTCCAGGTGTTGCTGGGAGCGATACTTACTCGAGATCCCCAGACTTGATGTCCACCTAAAACTCCTTGGTGGAACAAGTCTACAATCTTTGACTAATCATTCCTGCTTTTCAAAAAGTGGGGGACATTTTTTAAGCAAAATTTAAGCCATGACTGAATGACAGCCCACACCCTTGGGGTAATAATGCTAATTTTAGGGCCATGGTTTCCTCTGGGATGAAGTTCTTGAGAAGGAGAGGAAGGGAGCGCCTCACGTATTTATCATTGTGAATAAACGAAGGATACAATCCGGGGAACGTCTAAACTTAAAGCATGGAAGCTCAGAGAAACGTTGCATTTGACATGCATTGAAATTCTGTTTCCCCAAAAGATCTGGGGATTTGGGAAAAATGGGTAAGGAAGTTTAACTTCCTAGCTTCTCTCAGAATGGCAGATAATGAAAAGCAACTTGTTGGAAAGGGCTTTTCTATAAAAATAAGTGGTGGTGAAGAAGTGGGATTCAGCTGGAGTAACCTTTCAACCTTCTAATAGTTGGGGCCAAGTTTCATTTGTCCAACCGTCCCATATTTCTTAGCTCCTCAAACACTACCAGATCCAAAACATCAAAGTTGGCATATTGACATTCAAAGCAGTTCGGGCTCCACATTTTTCAGGGTCCCCCAAACTCCAGTTCCCAGAAGCCACCACTGGACAAGCATGATGAGAGTTGAGGAGAAGAATCATCGAGACAACTGTAACCATCCAGCTTCATGGACTTTGGGGGGGTCAACAGTTATTCTCGCACACGCAACCCCCAAAAACTTCCAAATCAAAAGTTCAACCAAAAGTGTTGGCCTCTTGAAGGCAGGTTCTCCAGACAAGATCCATCATCCATGCTTAGCCATGCCTTGAAGATTTTGGGGGAAGGTCTTGAAACCTTGGGAAAGCATCAAGATGACCACATTGTGCTGGCACCGAGTCACAGCCTGCTGTTTCATCGAATTGTCTTCCTGAAATCACAATCAATTGTGCTCATAAAGGGGATGTTGTTTTGGAAAAACAACTAAAGGAAGAGAGGTTCATTTTGACTTCTTACAAGGACAAAGAAGTTGGCCCGACTGAATTCAGCAAGAAAAACGATCCGATGGTCTCTACCTTTTCACGGGCATCGTTAAACCAGCTCCCTTTTGGGCCCAAGAGTTTTATTCAAAAGCTGTTGCTTGTAGCCCACCAGAGATGCTGCATTCTCCATTTCGAGAAGACACCCATTTAAATTTAACCACTAGACGAGTTAAGGTATCATTATCCAAGGTGTAATTAGCCCAGCCGCTAAAACAAGCGGCTACAGGACAAAAATTACTCACATCCTTTTCTGCAGGGAACGAAAAACAACAAGGAGGTGACCTCGACGGGTTGAACAAACAAGGCAGGGACCCTTAAAATAAAGTGATAAATGGTGTAGGGTAAGGACCAGAGAACTTTGAAGGAACAGAACAAAAGGAGTATTTCTGAAAATAGTTACAGCGTTGACCCGCCTTGCTCAAAACATTTGTGGTTGGGCAAACAAGGTTGCCTCAAAGTTCTTGAGAACTTCTCAGCCCTCCAAAAAAAAAAAATGCCCCTTCTTTTTGGGATCCATCTGTGGAGGGCATATTCCATCGTTGAGCACACCCAACTGACTGGGCTGGGGGAGACTCACCATACATCTTCCCTCATAACTATAATTTTTATTGCACATTTTTCCAAGACCTGTTTTATCTTCTCTTACCACTATTGCCCCACCAATAACTCATTAGGGTTGTGCCAAGCTTGGACTCAAAAGTCCACCTGGTCCCAGACATTTTCTTGTTCCAAACTGTTTCCAATCCTGCTAGTTGGGGAATTCTGGGAGTTGAAGTCCAGCTACCTTAAAGTTGTTAAGGTTAAGGTTAATTTTTAAAAAATTGGAAAGGGAGGGGACGATCACATAAGCTTGGGCTCCTGGAAGACATTCATACATCTCAAACTTGGCTCTGTTTTGCCTCGTAGGCTTTTTTGCAAGAAAAATAAGTTGACGCCTGGGAAGATAAATCTGTCCTTCACCAAGGCCATTTGTTTGACTCCCTCCATTTGTGACAGAAGTTTCTTGGGGTTCTCCTGCTGGGTGATGACAGAGAATTGGACCTCACCCATTCTTGGTATACAAAATCTATCATTCTGGGATATACTTTTTTCCCAACCTGGAGGAAAGATGAATAGAGCTAAAAGCTGTTGATGGATAGATCTCTTTAGGATCATACTCCGTGAAATTCTGCACCAGATCAAACCATAACTCCTGATGTTGCCACAAGACCTCATGTTCTCCTGCCAAAGCTTAAACACCCTTCCTTCTGGAAACCAGCCTTCGTTTCTGAACTTTAAGACGAATGAAGAAACCTGCACGTGCCATGGAATTCATCTCTTCCAACCCTCACATGGTACAATGTCCAGATAAAACCAGACATGGGCATGTCTGAAGCTGGAAGAGGTTGATGATTACCCCACAAGCTATGGAAGGCATGGTACTTTCCTCCTTTAAAATTGCAGAAAGGCAGCAAATGCTATTTTAGGCTTCTATTTTGGGGAACATGACAACGAAAAGGTGGAATTACAAGTTGCCGAGCAATTTGTCCAGAAGACACAAAGGTGGAACGAGCCAGGCTGAAGATGAATGAGATCATCCTCTGAAGAGGGTGTCACCTTGCATGATAGAATTAGCCAACCTATAAAAGGGGTTCGGCTTCCTGGCGTTTCCATACTTTTGTCTCTGAGGCTGCTCCCCTGATTTTGCTGAGCTGGGTGAGTTAAAAAATTGGGGGGGAGGGTTGGCATCAAGACAGGAGAAGACAGGGAACAGTTGAGCAATCCCTTACAGGTTCTTGAAAGGGGTGACAATTCCCTTTAGGACCACCCTAGAAAAAATAAAGGCCCTTCTTCATTGTCCCTTTTCCTGTCTTTGCAGAAAGGGTCTTCACAATGAGCTACTTTCTGGACAGTGTCTGTACCATCGTTGGAATCTTTCACAAGTATGCCCGATGCCAAGGTGGCAACCTCGCTCTCAACCGAAGAGAAATGAAGACACTTATCCAGAAAGAGTTTGCTGAAGTCTTGGAGGTGAGCACCAACCATGGGGAATGAGGGACTATGTTGGGCAATGCCCACCGTGATGGATTTTCGGGACCTTTCGTTCCAAGCCATGTCCTGATTGCAGAATTCATCCATGTTCTGGCTAGATCTCGCACCGTCCAAAATGAAGCCTTACATGGGGTTCCTTCAATGGAGGACATCAACCCAGGCTGGAGGGTCACCTATCATAGATGGTGTGGTGGAGCATATTCTAGGAGCCAGGAAGTGGGATGGAGAACCTCTATGATCTCTTCCAGTTCTACAAGTCTAGAAACACACTGGTCTATAACACAGAAAGGGGGGAGAATATCAGGGGATACATCTAGGCCAAGCAAAGACCAGAATTTGGGGTTGAAGGGATAACAGAGCCCATTTCCAGCAGGAGAAGCAGTTGGGTAAGCCAATCACTCAACAATCCCATTGGATAGGACAACTTATCTTTGGGTATAATTCCACTAAAAACATTATAAATGATCATCTTAAGAGTGAAAAATGTTGAGGTGCTACTGATGGTTGGAATGACCAGTTGCTCCAACCCTCTTTCTTTTTTATTTCTCCTCACTTCCAGAATCCTTGTGACCCTCAGACGATTGAACTCACTTTCAAGCTGCTGGACGTCAATGGAGACAGTTTGGTGGACTTCAACGAGTACCTGCTTTTCGTCTTCCAAATTGCCACCGGTTGTTACAGGTTCCTGCAGCCCAGAGAGTATCTTCTTCGGGACGAAAGTAGCAGAGCCCTACATGAAGGAGAAGCAGGAGGATCCAAAAGAGGTCATCAGCTTCAGGATGGGGAAAGGAGAGGAGACTATGTCCATGAGAGACAAGGTTTGGATGGGACTTCCCTACGTTCCACAGAGAAAGGAAGACGGGGGGAGCTGGTGAGACGCTACCTTCCCATTGAACTTGTAGAAGTAGATGAAGAAAATAGCAACTTTGAAGGACATGAACCCGAATTGAGGGATGGTGATAGGAGAGACCGTCCATCTCAGGAACATCAGGAAAGAGAGCCTGAACAACGACGCCTTGAGCCCAAAGAGTGGGAAGATATTGAGATACCAGAACCCCGTCAACGGAGACAACGGGAATCAACACTGGAAGAAGACTCTCCACGTCAGTCCCGAGAACTTGTGAGAAGAAATGACAATGACAGACGTGAAATTCAGGATCCCCTGGACAGCGATGAAGAAGACCTTTATTCTCCAATAGTCCCATCCAGGAAGGAAGAAGTGAGGCAACACCGGGGCCAAGAGACTGAGGGAAGACTCTTCAGATATGGTTCTCAAACCAGAGTTGATCGTACAGATTACGATGTTGAAATAAGTTGGCCATCTCGTGAATGGCGAGAAGTAGAAGATGGAAGGAGGGAGCTAGAAATACACAATGAGCGGAGATCTCGTGCCTTTGAACACCGTGTGGCTGATGATCGCCGAGATCGGATTCATCACCATAGCCCAGTAGAAGAGTATGAGGAGCATCATCCATTGTCCACAGAAGGTGAGAGAAGATCACAGTTCCATGAAGATGACCACAGAGAGAGTGAGAGGAGGAGACAAGGACGCTCTGTCTTTCAATCAAGAGAAGATGTTCATAGAGCAATCCAGGCAGAAGAGGAAGAAGTCAGAAGATCTAAAAGGAGACATGACGAAGATGAGTGGAGCAGATCACGACCACGTGAAGCTTCAAGAAGATCAGATGTGCAAGATCTGGAACGCAGAGAACGAGAGACGAGGAGGCCCTATTCTTCTGAGCTTAAGAACATGGACAGACCTTCCCGGTCTCGTGAGTCTGAAGGCAGAGAAGAGGTCAGAAGATCCCAACATCCTGAGGACATAGTGCAGAGAAGCCGGGAGTTCAGCCGGGAGGATACCAGAGTAACGGAAGTTAGGAGGAGGAGATCCCAATCCCTAGAGCCTGTGGCCAGGGACATCAGATATGTCCGATCTCAAAGATATGAAGAACCAAGGAGAGATGATCAGAGAAGACCCCATAATTATGATGTTCGCTCTCTAGAAAGGGATGCTGCAAGAAGGAGAAGGCTCCAGCCTCATGAATCACCCAAGAGAGGAGACAACCAGGAGAGGCAATGGTATTATGGACATGAAACCTGGGACAGTGAGAGAGACGGGAGAAGACGTCAGTTACGTTACTCAGAACCCAGAGAGAGGGAGATGAGAAGGTATCAGGTGGCTGACTCAAGAGTTGATGAAAGGAAACAATCAAGAGAAGCAGTCACCAGACCAACACAATTGGATAGGTTTTCTCCATCTGATAGTCCAGGAGAGGATGACCAGACTGGACAACAGATATATGAGTCCAGACATACACTTCAAAGAGAAGGGAGGGGACAAAGCTATGATAGACTAAGCAATGGCCAGAGACAAATCTGGGCAATTGATATTGCTCAAAGAGAACATGAAGGACAAAGGAGAAGCAATGTTGAGGTTAGAGTTGTTGACCAGTTCCGTGGTCTTGACCACAGAGAAAGTGAACCCCAGAGAAGAACCTCAAAACATGATTCTGATGATGAAAACACTGATCAAAGGCAGACCCAAACTTATGAAGTTAGCTCAAGAGAAGGTGAAGACCAAAGAAGAACTTCATCCCATGACTCGGGTACAAGACAGATCAACCAGAGGAGAACCCCAACATATGAGGTTGGCCCTAAAGATGATCAACGACCCAGAAGAATGCCATCACGTGAGTCCGTTGATCAGAGATGGAGGACCCACACACAAACCGACCTAGCAGAAGATGGTCAGAAGCCTTGCAACCCATATGAAGCTGACCCAAGGGATGGTGAGCAACAGAGAACAGTGCAGTCCTCTGACCCTAATTTCAGGGATACTGAAGCAACACAGTATAATATGGAGGACAGCACTCAGCCACGTGAAGCCACCTCTCTTTCCAACCAAACAGCCGACCGTGAATTTGATCTGCGGAGAGACCAAAGGACACTCGAGTCTGGTGAATCTCAACTGTCAAGGAAGCCTGGACAATCTAAGGCAGAACAAAGCCTGGTGAGTCCATACAAGCAGCACCAGGCCACAAGAGAGAGCCAACGTTTGTCTGGACCAGAAGTGAGAGGTCCCCAAAGGAGGTGGCTGCCACACCATCAAGCTGAAGCCCCAGAAGAAGCTGGTGTGGACCAAGTCCAACGAAAGGTAGGTTCACCTGTAAGCAAGAGGGCTATCTCCCAACCAAGTGAACGACAGGTCACCGAGGGCCAGGAAAACAGGATTCAGGGGTACCATCGCACACCAGTCTCCCAAGCTGAAGGTGAGTCTGAATTATCTCTGGATGGAGACAAAGCTCAAGAACCTGCTGCTCTCGACCAGCAGCAAGCCCACCGTGGAGGAGAAGTTCCTCAACCTGTGGCGGAGGAACCCAAAGTGGAGGAAGATGATGGAAGTGGATCATGGGCCCAGGAATCTCAGCCACCTTTGGAGGACGATGACCAACAAGCCGTCACGGAGAAGCCGAGCAGTTCTCTGGTGGAAAACAAATCATGCGTGATTTGTAATCCGCTGTATGAATATCTGTTGGCCCAGAAGAAGCAGGAGCAACCCTAGAAGTTGGGATGAAGATGCAAGCTTGAAGCTCACTCTGCTTTCATGTCTTCCTTTCTTCCTGCAGATGTTCTTTGATCCTGTTTTGTTCTAATCAGTTAATCTAATCATCTCTAACTCAACCCTTTTGGTCCAAGGCGATACCCAGCAAAGGGTACAATGATCCCTTCCCTTTGAGATGTATCCGTGGAAATGTAAAATTATGGTGAGAAAAAGGCAGGGGTCTCTGTCATCAACTGGGTTTTCCTTCCATCAGCTCCCAATCAGCCCTTTTGCTCTTCAGTGATTCTGAAATACCTTCCAAACTTCACAGAAGGTTACAAGATGAGGAAAGCAAACCCCAAATTCTACCTGGAGTGATCAAGAAGCAAGTCTAGATGGATATAGAGCCCCCTCGGTGTCCTTGGACAACTTCCTTCTACTATCAATAAATCCCTTCTGATTGAATGCATCAATTCTTCCTCGACTTTCCGTTTTCTTTCGTCTGTAGTATTTCCTTACTTATTTATTTTTTTTAAAAAGTGGGGGCGATTCCTCTGTTGGCCACAAGGTGGAAGGACAAGAGTGCAGAAAAACCAGCCAGGTTTCAAGAGGGTTAAATATTTGGGGAATATTTGCTGGTTCAAGAGCCAATGGGAGCTTCTTCTTTTTTTTTTTTTAAAGTTCATGTTCAAGTCACAACTTGCAAAGGGGAACGTTGCGACAGGACCGCAAAAACGCAATTGGGGAGGTTGTGTCTTTCATATACCGCTGCAGTTGTGTTGGCTAGGGTGTTGCCACAGGCTCTGTTTAACCTTTCCTTTTCGGTTCCTAGGAACGCTTAATCAGAATCTTTGCCCAATCCTTTTCATTAGCACTCAAGCTTGTAATTCTTTTTTTTTTTTTAATCTCTGCTGGACTTTTTCTAGTTTGCAAGAGGGCAAGAGAGGTAAGTCAGCTTATCTTCTGAAAATTCTTCAGAAAAATAACCCTCTCTTTAAAAAAAAAAAAGTTATGTATTTATTTATTAAATATATTGATTGCCCATCTTTCTGCCAAGTAACTCTGGACAGTTCTCAATGTTAAAAAGATGAACTTTCGCAAAACATATATATAATAGGAATTAAAATAATAAAAAAAAGATTTTAAAACATTTTCTTTCTTTCTTTCTCTTTTTCTTTCATTTTCTTTCTTTCTTTCTTTCTTTCTTTCTTTCTTTCTTTCTTTCTTTTCTTCTCTCTTTCTTTCTCTCCTGCAAAGGGGTGGGCAGAAAATACTGACTTTCGTTCATAAAATCCCAACTGCACATGAGTGACACTCATATCCAGTTCTGATGAAAACAGAGCGGAAAACGTTCAGAATTCAGCCCTGAGTACAGGGGTCTCTTTTTAGAAATGCCAAGGCTCTAGTCCTCATAGTTATGGGGAAAGCCTCCAGGTGTGTTCTAGAAGAGGAGAAGCCGTGATAGCTGGCATGTGGCAAAGTTGGCGCTCTTCCCTTGGCACAAGACAATGGAAAAAAAATGTCTCCAACTTTTTTTTTTGTTCTTCTCGGCGTTTACACAGAGGAGTAGGGGTATGACTCACCCCTCTGCCGCCCCTTAGCACAAAGGAAAATTAAAGCCCTGCAGAAAACTGGTTTCCTGTTATTTTTTTCCAGCACTGTATAGATTAGGAATTTTGGGAAAGAAATTTGATCGTAAGCCCAGTTTGGGTTTGCATTCCGGTTCAGTCCGAAAACCAAATTCTGAAAACACCCAAGTCTGCTTCTGCCCACCTGGGTAAAAAAATAAATCCACATTTTTGCATCTACCTTCCTTTGCAAACAGGAAGCCCCCCCCCCCCCACCTGTCATTGTGGGAAATTTTATTTTTTCCTTCACCCTGGCGTTTTTCTGCTTTGCTTTGAAGCATCGCAAAACAGTCGGCCCACGTTTGGAAAGTTGCAAATGCGGCCCTGCGAAGTATGTTTTTGGTTTTCCTCCAAGGAGGAAACTTGTAAAAAGTGGGGGAATTAAAAGCAGACAAGGTGTATTTTTTTCCCCTCTCCATGTATCTTAAAAAGATTTGGCTTCCAGATTTTTGGAGACATTCAAAATCGGGGGAAACTTCCAGACTGCTTCCTTTGGATAATGACACAAATGTAGGAAAAGAAGTCTTCCTTGCACACTTCCTTGCACACTTCAGTCGTGCCAGCAGGAAACTTAGATTGAAGGCTTAGGCCGAATGCAGATTGCTACCAGTTGAGTTTCGGCCTGCTACACGAAGGTTGGTGTTGTTGTTTTTTTCCAGTTGAACCAGCTAGGAAGTCTTCAAAGCTGAAATATAGCTGATTCCAAGCAGCTGGGAAAATTCAACCGGTTGGTTTCCCGCCTATTTGTTGGTGATTTCTGCAAAATTTAGAAAGTGAGTGGGCCTGAGTGGGTTAACCGGGGAGAGAGAGACAGCCAACTTCCCTTGAAGCACATTCCTGAGTGAATAAAATAAGGTGGGGCGTGTGGGGTTTTTTTTTCCTTTTTGTTCGCCTGAGTGTGCGTTTAGGCAAAATTGCTCAACAGGCGGGGAAGAGACAGGCGTTGGCCCAACCGGGGAGGAGCCAAACCCTCCCTTCACCACTCCGGTCTCCGACCAGCTCACCAGCAACAGCCAACTTTCCTCTCTGCCTAGCCACTTGCCGACCGCGGCTATGGTAAGCGCACCCTGGCCTTGTAGGATGCCTCTGCAGCATGCCAAGACAGAAATGGGGAGGGGTTTCTTTCTCCATTTGCAACTGGGGGGGAGGGAAGGAAGCCCACCGCCAACAAAACAGAGCCAGGAAAAAATTGGCTGTGGAGGAGAAGGGAAAAAAATGACATCATGGGAAGAAGGAGAAATGAACAGCAGCTGGAGTGACCCAAAAGTTCACCGAATCCAACTTCTTTCTCCTGGCGTCCTCTGGATAGTTCCAGACTTTTCAGCCTGGGTGGGGATTCCGGTTCCCCTGCTCCACAGACCCCTAAGTGGGTGGGGATGATGGGGAGTCACCCACCTCCCTTCTCTCTCTCTCTCTCTCCCTCCCTTTCTCTTCGTTTCTTTTTTTCACTTCACTCTTTCTCTCTCCTTTCTCTCCACCTTGTCTTTGTCTCTCTCTCCTCTTTCTTCTCTTCTGCCTCTTTCCCTTTTCTCTTTCTCCTTTTTCTCTCTCTCTTCACTTTTTTCTCTTCTCTTTCTCCTCTCTTCACCTTCAGTCTTTTTCCTCTCTCTTCACTCTCTCCTCTTTCTTCGCTCTTCTTTCACTCTTCTCTTTCTCCTCTCTCTCTTTCTCTTCATTTTCTCTTCACTTTCAGTCATTTTTTTTCTCTACCTCTCCTCTCTTTCTCTCTCTCCTCTCTTTTTTCACTCTCCTCTCTTTCTCCTCTTTCTTTTTCTGTCTCTCTCTCTCTCTCTCATTTTAAAACATGGTGGGTGTCTGTGCCACTGAGGATGTGAGTTTTTCACCAGTATGTATGTATGAATGAAATGTATGTATATGTATATATGTTCTCCCCCGAGGATAGAAAAATCAGTTTTGCCTTTCCTGAAAGGTCAGAAGAGCAGAGCATAGCAGGCGGTCAAGTCTTTGCCACTTCGAGTTGTGGTTTTCCATTTTGTTTCAGCGGGAAAGGGTGTGGCTGCACTGGGGGGACATGCTTCCGCAAATCCCAGGATGGCTCAGGGTTCCTCCTGCAAAAATCTCGCGGGAAGAGGAGTTCAACAGGGGAAGATTTAGGCAGAAGGCTAACCGGTTGAACTTCCGTCTGCCGCACGAGGGTTCGAGGCCTACACGCACCGCCAAGGAAAAAAAGCAACTCTTCAGTTTAAACTGCGGAACAGGCAGGAATGAGAGAGGTGGAGTCTCGCAGCTTAACTGCCTTCCCGTAAGATCGAGGGAGCGGGGAGGTTCTGCCTAGAGACCCACTAGAGACCCCACTCCAGGTGTCTAAAAGTATGTGGAAGTTTGCTAAGTACGGATTGCAAAAAAAAAAAAAAAATCACCGTTCCTGCGCTTTTGAGGAGTGGTTCGATCGGTAACTATTAGCTGTAAAAAAAAAAGAATCTCAAAATAATCTTCTTGGCTGATTATTTTGCAAAGCCAGCTCATACTGGTGCAGAACTAAGGACCAGGCAAGGAGAGTTATACCAAGACATCCCAAATCTTGAGTTACATGTTTTTGCAGGTAAACATATGGGTGAACTACTCTGGACATGATTCATTAGTTGTTGTTGTTTTTTAAAAGAAAACATATTCGGTGTGTTCCCACCCAATGCTGATTTCGACCAGGTTAAAACCTGGACGGGGGCCAGTCTACCATCTGCTAATCTAACTTGAATTTGTTGCACGTTTGTCTCTGTGTGTGTGTGTGTGTGTGTGTGTGCGTACCGATGGGCATAACAGAGTTGGAAGGGTTCTTGGAGGTCTTCTAGTCCAACCCCCTGCTCGAGCAGGAGGCCCTACTTCATTTCAGATGAAGGATGGTTCAGTCTCTTCTTAACAATCTCTACGTAGTCAGAGTGTAACACCAAACATCTTGTATGAATCCACAAAGGCAGTTTATTCAGTAACCAGGAAGTGTTGTGTGAATGCAGCTAAGCGGTTACTGGGGATGGGAAGGAAGATTGGAGAAGAATGTAAGTTTGTTCTGCGGCTTTTCCTTCCCAGGGGTTTTATGTCGCAAGGGCAGGGCCAAACTGATGAGTGCCTCTCCTCCAAAGTTGCCAAGTTGTGTGTCTGTGCACACATTGCCAAATATATCTTTTTTAAAAAGCAGCGCTCGTTCGCTCTCTTTCTCTCTCTCCACCCTCTCCAAGAATTGATGTTGGACAAACTTCCTGTTGGAGTTTTGTCATTGCAAGCAAAAACCAACTTCCAGCCATGGCCGCTAGGGGGAAACAAGCAAGTTTTGATCTGCAAATGAAAGAACAGCCTCTGGGCATGGGCAGAAGGCCCTCTTGTTGAATTGGCTGCTGGGATATTAATGGGAGCGCCTCTCCCCTCCTGGGCCTATCCTGAATTTCCACAAGAGGGAGCCAATTTATTTGAAAGATCCTCTTAAAACTTAAAAGCAACTCCAGCAGGGGGCTGGCAAACATAATTGGCTCTGAAATTAATCCATGTTCTAGCCCGGCATTTCTCAACTTTGACCACTGGAACAGGGGTGGACATCAACCCCCCAGAATTCCCCAGACAGACTGAAGAATTCTGGGAGTTGAAGTCCACCCCTCTTGCAAAGGCCAAGGTTGAAAAGATACTGTTCTAGGCTCACAAAATGCAACTAATGGGTATCGAGGTATGAACAGAACACCTCTGAGATGGAGGCACAAGGGCAGTGGAGCTCCCTTAGATCAGCAGAGTTTATCTTCCACGGAGCTTGGGTGGGTATGAGCTGCTTCACGATAAATCCAAGTTAGTCGATAGCATATAAAGATGATACAGACATTCGACTGATCCAATTATGAAGAATTCCCAGAGGGATCAGCCTCTTGCCAAATAATTCATAGCATCTCCATAAAAATGAGAAAGTTGTTTCCTAAGGGGTGGTAGGAGGTTTGGCTGATGTTATCTTTTTGAAAAGTGAAAAAGTTACCTTAAACATAGCACCCATTCTCCATCTATTATTTAAATTTGCAAACTGCACCGCTGAGAATTAGCTATTTGCTAGCCATTCGTGTCTTCGATAGTTAGTTGGAGCAGCCAAAACGTCCGGAGGCGAATTATTCCACTGGTTAATTAGTCGATCTCATTTGGGGGCAACCCCTTGCCTCAAATGTTTTCCTGTTCTTTCCTCCCTTCGGGGTTCCGGTTGGAAACAAAGAAGCTTCTTTTCGTGAATTGCACATCGTTGCAATATTCAGGAGCAAAACGGGCCCTTTTAAAAATGCAACTTTTTTTCCCCCTTCTGCAGTCATCCAGGTACACCGTGGGTCCCACCGAAACCGAGCGCTGCATTGAGTCGCTGCTGGCCGTCTTCCAGCGCTACTCTGGGAAGGAAGGAGACACCAAGACTCTCTCCAAGAAGGAATTCAAAACATTCATGGACACAGAGCTGGCCTCTTTCACCAAGGTGTGATTTACGGTTTATGTATCTCTTTGATATACCTGGGGAACCTGCTTGGTGGGGTATGGGCTCCCCCTGGTGGTGAGATGTAGAATTGCAAACTAGGATAGACACCGATGCCTAGTTCGAATTTCAACTGTTATTGGAACAAGGCGAAGGACGGTTCAATCAACAATTTCAAAGCAAACAGAAGAGCTACTTGGGGTGCTGTTTCCAGTCCGACGTGTTACCAGGATCTGTCCCATGCAAAATGCTGAGATAACAGAATAACAGAGCTGGAAGGAACCTCGGGAGGTCTTCTAGTCTAACCCTCTGCCAGGCAGGAAAACTTATACCATTTCAGACACATGGTTGTCCAATCTCTTCTTAAAAACTTCTAGGGTTGGAGCATTCACAACTTCTGGAGGCAAGCAGTTCCACTGGTTAATTATTTCCACTGCTAAGAAATTTCTCCTTAGTTCCTGGTTGCTTCTCTCCTTGATTAGTTTCCATCCGTTGTTTCTCTTCTTGCCTTTTGGTGCTTTGGAGAATAATTTGACCCCCTCCTCTTTGTGGCAGCCCCTCAAAATACTGGAAGCCTGCTATCCTAATTCTTCTTTTCTCCAAACCCAAATCCTGCAGTCGTTCTTCATGTGTTTTAGTCTCCAGGCCTTTCATCCTCCTAGTTGCTCTTCTCTGCACTTTTTCCAAAGTCTCAACCTCTTTTTTTGTAATGTGGGGACCAAAACTGGACGCGGTATTGCAGGTCTTACTAAGATCTTCTGAGATTTTTGTCCACCTAGCCCTCAAGAAATTCATTTGGGAGGTCCAAAAAGGCTCTCATGTGACCTTTATTTTATTTTTTTAATCCTTTGCAGAACCAGAAAGATCCAGGCGTCGTTGACCGTATGATGAAAAAGCTGGACATCAACTCCGACGGGCAGCTGGACTTTGCCGAGTTCTTGAACCTCATTGGAGGCCTGGCGGTGGCCGTCCATGAGATGGCATCCGCGCCCGCCGGCGGAGCCCCTAGAAGACCGTAAAGACATCCGGGCAATTTCAAACCTTTGTTATCCAAAGCATTCCAAAATCGGGGATGTGCAACATCCTTTATTCTTTGTTGTTGTTTTTTTTCCTTGTTCAATTTTGAATAAAATTGAGAATTAAAAGCAGATTTCTTGTTTGCCGTGTACGAAGGAACAGAGAGCTGTGTTTCTCATAGGAGGGTCATGTATTTGCCTTGGTTGAAAAGGAATCATTCGGGACATCTGAACCCTGGCTCCAAGATGCTTTGAGTTTTAAAAATAAAGATGCTAGTCCTCTGTGTTTGGGGAAAGAGCAGGGCAACACATCAGCTAGGACAAGGTGTGAATAGGTGCGGAGGCCTTTAAAATGTCTAACCGGAGTGGATTTTATTTGATTTACCGTTTCCCCGAAAGTACGACCTACCCTGAAAGTAAATCCTAGCTTGATTTTTACACATGCGTCCAATATAAGCCCTAATTAAGATCCCACCCACTCCAGAAGTTGAACCACTAGAGGACAGTACACATATATATGAAATATGTATAATTTATGTCCTCCAAAGTGCATTTTGAACTTGGGCAAAACACACCCTGATACATAACTGGATTTCCAGCATTCTCTGTACGAAGAATTCCGTTTCAGCTATTTGTCACCAGCGGTGAATAATGGCCGTGTCACCAAGAGTTTGCCATTTACAAAAATCAGGTGCTTTGTAGTTCCCCCTCCTCCTTCTCCCCCTCCTCCTCTTCCTCCTCCTTCCCCCCCTCACCCTGCCCTTTCTTCTCCTCTACCTCCACCCCCTCTTCCTCTCCCTTTTCCTCCCCCCTCCTCTTCCTCCTCCTCCTCCCAGTCTGCACCAACCTGCCGCAGGTTGAAATCAAATGAAACCTATTTAAAACTGTATCTCTCCACCTCGGCCACTTGAAGATGGGCGGACTTCAACTCCCGGCTGGGGAATCCTGGTTTAGGACTCATCTGTGTTTATACAACCCGCCCAACTAGGTGGAAAAAGTGTTGAATGTTTTGCTCAGGGTGGGGACTCTGCTCCCGATTGTAACCCATTGTGACCATCGGTGAGTGTGTGACATTCCTGAGTTCTGATTACAATTTTTCATTTTCATTTTACTTTTTTGGCTTGCTTCCTTTCCAACACCCCATTCGTGCTGGAAAGAAACATTCAACCCTTTTCCCACTGCCTCTTCCTGTCCCCTGGATTTTTTTTCTCATCCTTCTGGGAGCAAAGGGCATTCAGATGTGCTTCGCCCAGGCTCATAGTTCCCACAGCGGTACAATCCTCTCAGGAAAAAAAAAAAGGGGGCTATACCAGGTGAGACTGCACCTAATTTAGGTTCATGGATTGACAGGTGCAGGGAGTTTATTCAAGATCCACCCAGGAAAAGAAAATCCACAAATATTTGCCTTCCAAGACAACCTAGTTTTAAGGCCCCTGCCACCGATGCAAAATCTCCATTGCACAACTCAATCTTGGCACATCGCACAAATTAGTCAAGCTGTTTGCATCATGCTTCTCTCTGAATGACACAACCACCTTGGATTACACAAAACACACACACACACATAAAAAAAAAACCCAATCTTGAGATGGGTTTCTGCCTTAGTTTTTCCTTTCCTCCTCCCTCCTCTTGTGGTCTTCCTCTACTGTTGTGCCCCCAAATATGGTCACCTGCTCCGTCAATCCTATTTGACCATAAATGCTTTCATAAAGTAACAAAGAGTTGGTGGCACACAGCGCAAACTTTTTTTGGGGGGGAGGGCGGACATGGAAATTGGGAAATCAGCAGAAGATTATTATTTTTTCCCCGCTCTGGCCGAAAGAATCGCGAGAAACAATGCCTGTTAAAAAATAACCTCTGGGCTTCATTGGATAGTTTCTAAGGAAGCAGGAAAGAAAACAGCAAAGATAACAGCCCTGCGATGGAAAAATGTGGATGCTTGCAAACTGGGCCTGGCAAAGGCGTGGCAGCCCAGGACAGCTAGCTAACCTCGGTGTATTTATGGAAGAATTAAGTGATTCATTAATCAATAATGAATCGAGATTGAAATGTGGAAATGGCCAGATCTCAATGTTTTTGAGTTGCTAAGTGAATCGGAGTGATTTTATTTTATGATCGAATTTATCTGACTCGGGGCGGCAAATGAAACCAACCGATGTCCCATAAAACTAAAAGGGAGAAACGCTTTTGGGCTGATTGTAATATTAAGAAGTGGGGATCGGGAACCAGGAACAGGAGAGAAGGATGGATTTTCCTACATTCAGGCAACACAAAGTTAGTAGGCATGCCTTGCTCAGTAGAATCGAATCGGAAGGGACCTTAGAGGTCTTCTAGTCCAACCTAGGATGACCCTATCTCATTCTGGACAAACGGCTTTTCCAGTCTCTTCTTAAAAACCTCCAGTCACCCACAAGTTCTGAAGGCAAGCTGTTGTGTGTGTGTGTTTTTTTTTTTTACTGAGATGGCATATTTTCCTGACCCTGCAAAAATACATCCTCCCTCCCTTAAATGTCTGAACGGGGTGTGTGTGTGTGTGTGTGCAAGCAACAATAGGGAGGAAGCCGCCAAGGATAACACGTGAGTTTGCATCTAGCGGATGGAATTCAGGAATGTGGAGGAGGAAAAACAGGTGGGCAGGGCAGGCAAAGTTAGGGAAAAACACTCAAAGAATGCAGAATAATGGTACCTCTTGATGGGGTAGAGAAGACATGTTTGACCAACTCCTCTCTTTTCCCTTTATGTCAGTTCCCTTAATTTTATTTTTATGGATAGATGATAGATAGATAGATAGATAGATAGATAGATAGATAGATAGATAGATAGA